AGCCTTACCAAGTACTTAGTCTGAGACAAAGTGATGTTAAGTGCTTCCCATCTATTGTTTCTTTAAATCCTCAAAATTGGTAGACACTATCATTTCCATTCTACAGATGAGGAAACCGGGGCTTTGAAAACGGCATTAGGGTACACAAGCTAGAAGTAGCAGAGCTCTGATCTGAACCCATGTGTGACTCGGAATCAATGCTCTGATCAGTTCTCCTGGTGGTTTTCAGTCCTGACGGGATAGTAGATCACTGAGGGAACCTTTACAAACTGTAGATGCCAGAGTCACCAGAGTCTGCTTCAGGTGGAAGGAACCAGTCTCTGGACAGGACTGAGTGTCAAGAACTCAGTGCCCCAGCTTTGTTGGCTCTGGGTTGGGGGAACCCCCAGGCAGCTAAAGACTTCAGGGATGAGTAAAGCCAGAAGTACAGGGACAGTGACTTCCCCGGAGATGCAGGGAGGGGAAGAAAAGGACTCTCTCCCAGTGGAGGGCTCCAGGTCTAGCAGTGTCATTTGTCCCTGCCTGGAAGCTGGACACCGCCACCATGGCTGTCCTGGGAGCATTTGGCAGCTAATAGGCCTGAGTCAAGCCTTCCTGGAAGTTGCATTTAAAAGTAAAATGCAGGTACAGACGCTTTCTTCATTCACTCTCCAAGCGTCTGCCCAGGGCCTCCTACGAGGACGACCCTGTGCAGGGTCCCAGGGATACAAGAGACTGCAGTCAACCCCAGAGTCCCGGAAGACGGACAATCAAGGTGAAGTGGATAGATGAATGAAGTAGCTCCGCTGCACACTTAAAGACACTTCACTGGCCAACCTGCGACCTGTTCGTTTCTGCCACCTTCGGATGAGCTGCGTCTGGAGACTTCCTGTGGAAGGGGCTGCTGTGGAGGGGAGGGGGCTGACGGCAGGAGAGGCCTTCAAGTTCTCAGGCCTGGGGGCAGTGCACTAGCAGAGGCGCCACGCGGCCCGGACGGAGGTGCCTGCAGGTGCCCAGAGCTATTTCAGCCCATCCTTTCTCAGCATTGTGGTCTCACACAATGATGCGACGGCATTTCCTGTCCAGGGCTGGTGGGATGTTGAAAAGACCTGACGTACAACACAGGATATGGGGACGAGGGACCCTACAGACTCCAGCAGGATGGGCTGTAGCCCGGATCACAGTGAAGTTCATGGTCTTTGCAGTCAAATGTAGATCATCCTGTCCGCTAACTGTGCATGCACCCCGGCTTCCCTGTGACCAGGAGAATGCCCGGGGAAAGGAAATGTTTATCAGATAAGCCTCAATTTCATCATCTGTAAAATGGGAGTGATATTTGACCCCCTAGAGGTGTAAAGGTGAAGTTAACTCATATTTCTAGGGAACTGCATCCTTGGCACCTCAGCTGAGCGCTCTGTGGATGGTGCTGACCGTAGTCATGGAGGGATGGAGGCCAGAGGACCTGTCTGCGCAGGGGGCATTGCCAGGGAGCCTGACCCTGGCTGTTCCAGGCTGGGAGCTGCGGGGAGAGACCCAGACAGATTCTCAGGATCAAAGAGCTGGGGACAGGCCCCTGGGGTGGGAGAGAGTGTGAGGATGTTGAAAAAGAAACCACATTAGCATAAGTTCTGGAGGAGGCCAGCCCTGAGCGTTTAATTCATCTGTTAAGACAAGGCTGGAAATGAAAGGGAAACTAAATTGCTATTGTGCTTCTAGGTGACAGTTTCCACCCCCGCCTTGTAGACTGCGGTGTAAACAGTAATTAAGCAAGCCAGGGGCCCGGCTCTCTCCAGCCACAAGCATCCCTGGGAATGAGCTGTGGACTCAGACTCTGTCTTTGGTTTCTCTCCCCACCCCCACCCCCCAGGTGACCTGGTCTCCCGCGCCATGCACCATATGCAGGGGCGTCACCCCCTGTGTCCTGGCTCCAGCCCTGCCCGCCAGGCCCGCCAGCCGCCACAGCCCATCACCTGGTCCCCCGACGCCCTCCACACGCTCTACTACTTCCTGCGCTGCCCACAGATGGAGTCCATGGAGAACCCCAACCTGGACCCCCCGAGAATGACCCTGAACAACGAACGGTAGGCATCTTCCCCGAGGCTGAGCCGCTGGTAGGGCCTGTCCACCAATGTGTGTTGACTGACTGCACGAAGACTGATGGATAGAGTGAGGGGACCCTGCGGCTGGCCATGGTGCCTGCGAGGAGGTGGCCAGGGAGCTCGGACAGATGAAAGCCTGAGCTATGTGCGAGGGGATTTTGTTTCTTTCAAACCCAGGGCAGGCCAGGCATGGTGGTGCACACCTGTAATCCTAGCACTCAGGAGGCTGAGGCAGGAGGATTGTTGCAAGTTCAAGACCAGCCTGGGCTACAAAGTGAGCTCAAGGCCTGCCTGAACAGGATAGCGAGACCCTGTGTCAAAAAGACAAAAAATAAAATAAAATAAAATAAAAAATAAACGCAGGGCAGATGCAGCTTGGGGTCAGCAAGGACTTCATCCTCGGCATTGGGTTGGCCGCTCAGCACATAGCGGCTGGGCTCCCTGAAGCTCCGCTGCCTCTCTGTCAAACGTGGTGAAGGTACTGGTGAGAACCGAGAGCTGGCTCCACCAGCTTAGGTCAGCCGCAGCTGTCTTCGCTTTTGGTGGTGATAATGTCACCATGGTCAGGAATCGTGGCCCTGATTGGCCCCATCCACAGAAGAGTGATTGGGCCCTGACAGCTCTTTGATCTCCATCAGGCCAGTGGTTGAATAACTGCAGGATCTGAGCCCGCTGGCCCCCACTCTGTGCTCTCTCCACAGATTCCCAGCTCTTGCCTTTCCCAGGTGGCAACAGGGCTGCTAAGAACAGATGCACAGGTTGGGGACTGCACAAGGAGGAGGCAGCAAGGGCTTGAACCAAGGATGCATATGGGGCCATGCTGGCCTGCGGACAGGATGCCTTTTCACAGCCCTCTACTCAGGCTGCCTTTTTAAATCTTCTGCTTAGAGCATGTGCTTTCGATAACTGTCCCAAGACCTTGTGTGCAGGCAGGAGCCTCACGTGGGGCCACCACATGGCCACTCAAGACAGAGAATGTCCGTGGGCTCACAAGTTCTGTGCTTGAGGCCCGGGGCATGGAAGGCCCCACACTTGGCTTAGGAAGTCCATCTGCACACTTTACCCCATGGCAGGGTAGGAGAGGCAGAGGCCCAAAGGCTCCGCCCATCCCGGGCCCGGGGCCCAGGCCGGCTGCCTGTTGTGTATGGCCGCCATTGGCGGCGTCAGCCTGCTGCACAGCCAAGCTCACATCTTCTGCACCTCCACACTCATGGGACCCACAGGTGACCAGGGGGTTCCTATACCAGAGTCCACGAGAAATGGACCATAGGTAAACCTTGGCAACACTGGAATCTGGGGGCCGGTGGCCTTGGGCTCAGGTGACCTGGGCACAGACAATGGCTCTGGCCTTCGGGAAAGGTTCTTGGGAGCTCTGTGCGTGAGTCCAGGCCTCCCCCGGCCTGCCTTCCTCAGCGGTGAGTGGGGAGTAGCCGTGAGGCAGGTGGGGACGCCACACGCATAGTGAACGTCGCTGTGACTCAGCGCTCCAGAAGCACGGTGATGTCACACTCTGTTCCTCTGGGAGTGGGAAGGTGAGTGGAAGGCTGAGCAGGGCCCCCTGGGCCTGACTGATGAGAAGCCTGGGTGATCTGTGGGCAGCATCTCATGGGCGGGGAGCCCTGGGACTGGCCTTGTGCCCCAGCTGTTTCTGCTTTGTGGAGAAAGCGTTGCATTCGCAGGCGTTGGCCGGGAAGGAGAAAGGGCGAGGCCAGCACACGGGGTGGGGAGTGGAGGCGACTAGCTTGCTGTTTGCTAAGGTTCCCAAGGGTGCTCGGCCCAGAGGAGGCAGCTCAGCTGCTGGCCCTGGGGCTGTGATGTGGCACTGGGTTGTCTTTGATGGGGCAGCCTCTGGCTTTCCAAACCTCTAGGGAGAGAATCTTGGGCCCAAGGCTCCGCCACCCGGCACCAGCTCCTCTGCAGCTTGACTCTCCTATCTGTGCTTGTAACAGCTGCGCACGGATGGTAACACACACATGTGCATGTGCTTAGACACCTAATTACCCCAAACCACACTGGGGCACAAGTCATCTGGTCGCAAAGGTATTTCTCCATGAATCATTTCAAATGAGTATTAGATTCCTAGGAAATTGGAACCACCATAGGATGGGAGGAGGTCTACAACTTTTAAGTTTTTGTGCTAAAAAGAGGATACCCTAAAAATACCTGGGTGAGCAGACAGCCCAGGCACGCGCTGGTGGCCTGGTCTCTGGCTGCGGAAGCAGACCCTGCCATTCCTGCAGGGCACTGCAACAGGGCGGGCACAGGAGGCTGCGGAGAAAGGGGCTGAGTCCCCTGGCGCCTCGTGGTCCTGCCACCCAGCATCTTCTCCAGAGCTCTGGGGAAGCCTTCTCTCTGGTGCAAGGGGTGACTGGAGTCTGTTAGGGTCCCACTGTGCGTCTATGAGTTTGGGGCTGTTCCCTCCAACTCTGTTGGCTTCGTCCCTTGACGTTCCTTCCTCTGTCCTGCCTCAGGACATGAGCAGTATGTCCCCCCCCCCCCCCCGTTCAGACTGGACAGAGCCTCTGACTCCAGCCGTGACCATGGGCTGCTGGTCTGAAGGCATTCTATGGGCCACTGCGGGCCAGTCAGGCTCACTCAGGGTTGAGCAGTGCTCTCTGCTGCCCTGCACACATGGGTAAAAGACCCCACTTGGCAGCATGGGGACATTGGTAGTGCCACACAAGTCTGCCCCTCTGCTTTGAATGCAGACTTCTGATGCCTGCCTTTGAAGGGCTGTGTGACCTCAGCCTTGCAGACAGAAGAAGCAGGAGTGCTGTGGTCGCTTCCTGCTCAGCTTCATGCTGTGCCTGCGCTGTTCCTGGGGCCTTGGGAGCTCACAGGCAGAGACTCTTGCCGGGGGGCTGCCGAGGCCGGGGAGAGGCAGGAGCGGGAAGTGGCAGAAACAGCGGAGGCTACGGGCTGTGAGTGGGCTCTGCTGTCCTTTGGTCCCATGCCTGAAGTGAGCCGAGCACAGAGGCAGCGGCTCTGGACTCAGATCCACGCCCGCCCACGCCTCAGGCTCCTCCGCTGCACGGTGGGCAGAGCGTTCTCTCTGGAGATTACAGTGAGCTGACCCGTGTTCTTCCTCCTCAAGGGCATTTCTACCTCCCTGTTCCCTTGTGTGCCCTGCTACACATCCCCAAGGGGTCATTACTCCCATTCACAGATGTGGGTACAGGGCTGTGGGCCCCCCGCTGCTACCTGGCTGGGCAAGGATTAAAACCAGGCTTCTGGCCTCAGAGCCCTCGCCTGGCCCCATGCCGGGCTATGGCTTTCTCTACTGGCTGCTGAGATCTGATGCCAAACTCTAGGGCTACTTCGGTGGGCTCTGGTCTTTAGGGCCACCTCCTCCAGGCCCTCTCAGCCTCACCTGCCCCATCTCTCCCAGGATGTCACCCTCATCACCCTGGGAAAGCTTTACAACGGGGCCCTCGCAAGACGCTCCCTGGATACCTCTCCTGCTGGCAGCTTGGCATGCCAGGCACCAGCCGGGCCCAAGGCAGGGTCCAAAACATAGGCTTAGTCACAGCTGCTGCCCTGCAGGGGGGTGTCAGTGCCACGATCAAGCCCAGAAAGTGAAAGAACCTGCTGTCAGGGATCCAGGGAGATCAGAGGACAGCGACAGCCATCTGGTTCAGTGTGGTCCTTGCTGGCTGAGCCTGGAGGCAGAAGGATGGGCCAGCTGGGCCAGCAGCCTGGGCAGAGATACCTCCTCTGTCCTCGTCCTCCTGAGGAATGAGAAGAGGGCTGTATAGACACGTGGGAGAGGCGGGGGGCCCGCCAGCTCTCCAGCAGATGGCTGAAGACAGGGGCATCGGGCAGAATGCAGGAGACATGGCTAGCAGTGCGAGGGCAAGGTGGACAGGAGGTGAGCCGGTCCTCATCATCAGAGGACCACAGAGGTTGGTCCTGAGCACCAGACAGCTTCAGCAGGGATAGGAGGCTGGCTTGATGGTACCCTTTGTCCCGAATTCCCACAGAGCTCTTTTTTTATGGGGACTACTGAGGCCTGCACAAAGGTCAAGGCCGTGGCCTAGATGAGGTTCTGGGAGAAGGTGTGTATGTGGCCCAGCTCTCAGCTGCCTTGTTCTAGGTCCTGCAGGCCAAGAAGGTTCCAGCGAATATGGAAACAGGACTTGGAAAAGCTGGAGCTAGCAAAGCGTCAGTCAGCCCTTTTGGGTTCTACCCAGGGCACCGGAAGCCCACACCTGTGGCTCCTGGGAATGCCTGAGGCACAACTGCCGTGGGTCCCTGAATTGTCCTAGGGGTGTATGTGTGTGTGTGTGGGCGTGGGTGGGTGGGTGTGTCCTGCTGTCTTGTGGCAGTGTGAAAGTCAGTTTGTGTTTCTGGACCTCAGTTCCTCCTCGGCAATATGGCGAAGATGGGACGCTATTTCTGGTTAATGACCCTGTGATGGGAGACACTTTGCTCAGTGCCGGACACACTGAAATGTGCTTTGTAGATAGGGCTGTCCTCCCCCTCTTCCTCACTATCGTGATGGTGGTAAACACATTTCCACGGCATATTTGACCCTCAGAATAGGCTCTCTTAAAAAAAAAAAAAAGAATAGGCTCTCTTTATTAAGATATTGTAACTTTTTATTTTTAAAGCTTTTTGTTGTGAAAATTTCAAACATATACTAGAAAAAACAGTATCATAGACCTCTATGTATCTACTGTCACCCAGTTTTTAATAATCGTCAGAAAAACAAGAATACTCCAAGTGTGAAGCTAATACAAGGAAAGAAACTGTAAAGAGCAGAGCAGAAATTAGTGAAATTGAGACTGAAAAAAAGATGGCACAAGGAATCAGTGAATCAAAGAGTTGGTTCTTTGAAAGGATTGGGGGATCCGGGAGATGGGGAGACAGAAGAGAGAGGAAAGGGGAAGTAAGGATGGTGATGCGATGTGTGAACCAGCTCCCAAGGATGAGGGCATTTCCCACAGCTCACAAACATATACTGATATAAAAGGAGTGAAACT